CCTTGATCTTGTTGAATCTTGGGTTTTTGACAAGAAGAATTATGAAAAATATTGATGATACTTGCAAAGCACCAAATATTATTGTTACTAAAGAAATATAAATGTACTTATATTCATGAATAATTATGTAAAGCTCTATAAAATTATATAATCTGATAAATAAAAGTCTAATTACAAGTACATATATGATCCATTATTGGTGATCGAGTTTTAAAGCCTGGTAATTATAATTTTCCTACACCTCTGCTCTATATGATATTCAGTCAAACCAAAATCTTTTTATTTTTATCGATATTTAAATGAGTTTTTCCTTGCAAGTAAACAAAAATTTAGTTTTATTACAGTCATGCATTCACCCACACAAGAATCTTGTGAGTCATTCGGTTTTATTATTTTGCATGAAGAGACATAACGGAGTAGGCCAAACATAATACGTACTTAGTGCCATTTTTATCATAATTTGTGACAGTATTAACATGAAAGTTTTGAGAAGGATAAACTTGGGTTTCAAAAATTTTACAATGTTCAATAGAGAGGGCCTCTAATCTGCTGTGAGTGGATCATGGTAACATTGAATTTGATATGTAATTGGTATAACTATGTAGTGAGTAGTGTAGCCAATTGCATACTAGTTGCATTTGGTTTAGGAACTAACTTGTAGATGGAAGCAACTGTAGTACGCATGATTTCATGGTCCCATATTGTGTTGTTAAATACACCTTCAAGAATTTATGGATAGTAATACTCTGAGGATGAGAGGAGCTACACTCATTGGTGCGAAATGCCATGGATCACATATTTTTTCTTTTTTTTTTGACAAGAGCACAAAATTTTATTAATCACAAACATTATTCTAAAACTTGGCCAAGGCAGCTCAGACTTGACTGAGTAACTTGGCCTCGCCCTATAGGCGAGACGAGTTTTGGTTGAGTAGGTTGTACAACACTGTTTTAAACTTTAAATATATTACTACCTCAATTTTATGTTAGATACGCTTGAATGATTTACTCTCAAACGAATGAATTTTGCCCCAGTTGGGGGTTTGAATCCCACTTTTGCCACTTTTTTTTATAGACATCATTGTTTCAATTTTTTTTTTTTTAAAGTTCCAAAAATAATATTGCCCAACATCATTTTATTGCTCCAACGAGAATGGAACACAAAATCTCCTTATAGACATCATTGTTCCAAAAAAAATATTTTTTTAGAGTTAAAAAAAATATTTTTTAAGAATTCAAAAAATAATATTGTCCAACATTATTTTGCTATCCCAACGAGAATGGAACTCAAGACCTCTTGTAAAAAAGTTCATTTATATAAGGGGGACTAACTAGCACATCAATCTACATCTTCATATATAAAAGTAGCGCTCATATTATATATAATTATTTTTTTTCTTTTTTTTAAAAATATAACTATTTTTTCTCCAATTTTCTTTTTTAAAAAAATGAACTGGACTCGAGCGAGTTACTTGGACTCGCTAAATCGCATCGTCTAAATCCTGAGTATCTTGGCCAAGTCGATTATCTAAACACTGATCACAAATGAAAAACAGGGAAATTACAATTGAATGGTCAGCCAAAGCTCCACCTTCACCAAAGAATTTGCCCTATCAAGAAAATTACAATTGAATGGTCAACCAAAGCTCTTTCACCAAAGAATTTTCCCTATCAGGAAAATTACAATTGAATGGTCAGCCAAAGCTCCATCTTTCACCAAAGAATTTGCCCTATCATTTGCCTCCCTTTATAGACATCATGTTTCAACTTTTTTTTTTTTTAGAGTTTCAAAAATAATATTGCCCAACATCATTTTGTTATCCCAACAAGAATAGAACTCAAGATGTCTTTATAAGAGGTCCATTTATATAAAAGGGACTAACCAACATACCAATCCACTACTTTATTGATAAAATTGGTGCTCATATTATATATAACTATTTTTGTCTTCATTTACTTGGACTCACCCGAGTAACTCTCTTCGACCAAGTTCCGAGTATCTTAGCCGAGTCGATTTTCTGAACACTGATCACGAATAAAAACATCAAAATTACAATGTCAGAGAAACAACAATTAAAAGGTCAAGCCAAACTCCATCTTTCACCAAGAAATCTGCCCTATCATTTGCCTCCCTATAAATATTTATAGTTAAAAAATACGATCTGATCTCGACATATATCAAATACCTCCATCCAAAACTTTCTTAAAACTCCATAGGCTCCTACCTTTTCCATTACATAAATAAATAGTATTTAAAGAATCACCCTCCACCATCCAACCAAGGAAGCACATTTATCTTTCAAAAATTTCATAAGTTGTCAAGGTTTGAAAGGGATACATTAGAAAATATATTTGTTCACGATGCATATCGGGACGATCTCAGAATGAAGATCCGAACCACAACCTTGTTTTTAAGAGTGATAGAGAATGGGGATCAATCAAATTCTAATATGAGGCTAGATTTGTTCAAAATGAGTAGATCTGTTCTCAGAATAGTGGTAGAGCCAGTTTTGATCCAAAGAGCATGAAATACTGGAATAGATTAGATAAAAGTCCAAAAATATAATAAAAGACTAAAAATAAAGAAAATGAGAGTAAGAAGAATACCTGGCCTAGCCAGTTGGCTTGACAAACCTGAGGCTTCGAGGTCTTTCCCGTATCATGATTGCAACTGTAATTTATGCCATGGATCATCTGTGTTTCTCTTCAATACTGACCAACCTTTGGCTTGGTTGAATGATTTTCTTAATCTAAGGGTTGCAAGTTTAATGGGCTAAAGCTTGTTAATATTTTTCTAGATCTAAGGTTCACTTAGGGTCTTATCTCGAGTCGTAGAGTCTCAAGTTTTCTTGACATGCAAGCTTATAAGGTCTAACCTCAAAATGGGCCACAAAGATGAGTTTTTAAATATGAAAATCAGTTGGAATGGGTAACAACCAGTAACAAAGAGATTTCCTAGCCTGGATTGTCAGTTTGGGGGTCAAAGGCTAGTAGTGTCGCCCATAACAAAATGGTTAAGGTTAAATGAACCTGGCAAAAAATGATCTGGGGGATAAGCTGGGTCAAAGATACATGATTATGGACAATTTTGGTTGGGCAGCACTAGGTGTGTTGCCCAAACCAAATCTGTCCAGATTTGGAAATTTTCGATTCTGGGGTGCTCCAAAGGCTTTTGAGATATCACCTGACAAAATCTCGTGATTTGGGTCAGTTTGGGCTGGGCGACACACCTAGAATTGACAGATTTTGACTTGGAGGTGATTAAGAGGCTTTTGAGATATCACCTACCAAAAATCTTATAATTTGGATAAGTCTGGCTTGTCGTCTAGACCAAATCTGCTCAGAATCAGCAAATTCTGATTTCGGATAATCCAAAGGCTTATATGATAGGGCCTGTCAAAAATTAGGAAAAAATACGTGGGTTTGCTATTTTTACATGATTTATTTAAAAAATAGTATCTATAGGATTCTGGCATGCAGTATGGACTATAGTGGTCTATGATCCGAGGGTTTACTAAGATAGTATAGTCCTAAGGCTATCTAGGATTTAAAAAACCATTGAATTTGCCTCTTTTCAAAATTAAATATCTACATTATTGCACAAAGTAGGATTGAGATGATAAGTTCTTAAAGGAGCATCAATGCAAGAGAAAATTGCAACTTGAATGTGGCACCGATATCAAAATATACCCAAAGTCAAACAAAAAATTTCTAAAAAATTGGAATGCATCCCTAGCCACCCAATTCACATCTAATTGTCATATTTTTCATTGGATTTTTACGTTTTATTTCTGAAACATTACTATATTTATGCTTGTTATGTGGCTAACTGAATGTCGACAGGCAATGACTACAAGAAAGTATTATATCGTGTTTGAATAAAGCTTCATAATCTCGTAAAAAAAAAACAAAAAAAATATTTCGTATTCATGGCCAAGAGCTACACATTTATGCATCCCAAGAAAAATGTCACCAAGTAAATTGATTTAAGAAAGCATCCTAATACGCATTCCGCACTCTAGAAGAAGCAGAAAATGCTTTTGAAAATTTTCAGTACTAAAATCATTTTTTTTCGGACTAATTGAGGTCGACAAAATATAATATCAAAATATCAAATAATAGGTATGATGACACCTAATTCTACTAGTTTGCATCACTTTTTTGTATAACGATCATGCAGAACGGCTAGCCCGAAGAATAAGGATGATTGGCTCATAGCAGTTTGTTAAAATAGCTGAGAGAAACCGAAATAATAAACTAACAAATCAAGAAATTATGATCTGAATCAATCTTTTTCAGTCATACTGTATTCTGTTCTTCGCTATCGGCCGCTGAGCCACCCCTCTCTTCGCACCACGCCGCTATCAGCCGGAGCCCTCTCTTCGCACTCAGTCCTCGCTAGGATTTACTCATCTATCAGCCGCTGAGCCACCCCTCTCTCCGCACCACGCGCCCCCCACTGCCCTAACCACAGAGAAGAGACCATTTTTCGCCTTCTCTTTGCCCCTACGAGCCTCCTCACAAAGGTACATCTCGGTTTTTTTCTGTGCCCTGATTTTTTTTCTCTCTCTGGTTTTTTCTGTATCCCATGGTTTTTGCTCTGTGATTTTTTTTTCTAGGTTCCGAACATGGTGAAAATGGATCCCACGATTTTTTTCCTATATGATCAGTTTATTCTCTCTCTGGTTTTTTTTTCTGATTTTTCGCAAATGTTCCTATTTTTTTAGTGTTTATTTGGCTCATTGGGTTACTCAGCATAGACTTTGATGAGTTGATTAAGATTTTTCTGAGTTGCAAGGGGGTGAGTTCCTTCTGCTGAGCCCCATTTTCAAACATTGGTTAAAGCAAAGTGATTCAGTCTTGTGAAATTTGTTAATTGATTGCATCTTACTCGAGTTAGGCATGTCATGTTTTTCTTCTTGGCATATTTTGAGTTAATTTGGAGCATGTGTATTAAAATTTGAGATGAAGTCCAAAACTTTTGTAGAATGTAATCTGCACCAAAGAAATGTTATGGACAAGTAACGATAGGGGAAACAAATCGGGCGAAGAGCATTTTATCAAAGGAATTAATGTCAATTGATTTATGTATGTGCTGTAGAAATTGTGTGTGGTTTATTTATGTATTCGGCGTTTGTTTTATGTACGTGCTTTAGGAATTGAGACTTGTTTCTCTTTGTATGCCATACATTTACACCTCCATTAATGGGCTTATTGTGGTTTTTGGCCTCTTGAGTTGGGCTACTTGTTTTTAGTATTGTGTTCAACAGGGGTTTGGAATTCCCTTTTTTTTTCACATGAGTAGGGATTTCGTATTCTTGTGCATGCTTTTGTGTTTTCTCTTTCTGTGTGTGGGGAGCTAGGAGCGGGAAAATTGGTTTTCTTGGGGCTTGGCTGAAATGTTGGTGGTTTCCAACAGTTGGATTTATGCATAGGTGGTTTTTATTTGGGTCATGTGTTAAAGGGCAAAGGGGATTGTATTGGGTGATTAGAGGTTCTTGTTGTTCACTTTCGTCTTTTTTATTTATTTATTTATTCTTGTAAAGTGGCCAAATAAGGATTCTATTTATGGTGATTTAGATATAGGATTGGTTTCAGGAAGATGTCAGCGTGATATATTTTGAATTGGTTTCTACTTGTATAAGAGGTTTGTGTTTCTTGGTTCTTGGCTATTTGATCTGTTTGGTTATTCAATTCCCTCTTATTTAATTTTTCTGTTACTGATCTATGGTTATTTGATTTGATCCTTTCTGGTTGGACTTGATCATATTGGTTCTTTGCTTTTCAACTTCTGGGATTTGCTTTTTTGAGTCGTTCCAACAATGACTTTAGCAAAGTGTTAATAGCAAAGTGTTAACAAAACAAAGAGATAGAAATACTGAAAAAAATACTGAAAAAGCAGCCAATGAATGCAACTTCTCATGAAAAATTGGTCATAAGGCCATTTACTAGATAAGATTGATGAGTAAATAGAAACTCACCCTGTGTTTTTCTTCTCTTCTTTCAATATGAACCCAATAACCAAAGCAATGAGTAAAACCTTTGCTGCAGTAGCAGATGCCACCACAATAATGATTTGAATTGCTTGTTAAAAAGGTTGGGGTTTCATTCAAGTTCAAATGACCCACAATATCAGATGAAAGGGGTCCTAAGTGAAATATATTAAGAATGTGACAAGTGTTATGCTTGCATTTTTATCGAGCAATGTCCTTGGAACTTCTCAACTTTGATTGTTTCTTTCATCTTCTTTTTTTTTTCTTATTCATTCTTATAAACTGGCCAAATAAGGATTATACTTTTGTTTTGTTGTAAATTGGTCTCTGTAGGGAAAAATAATTTCGATGTTTTTTTGATATATAGTTCTCTGCCCCTCATCCCTCCCTTCAAGCCTTCTTCTCTGCACCCCAGGTAAATTTCACAGTTTCCAATTCTTCTTTTCATCTGGTTTGTTGTACTACACAGGTGACAATCATAACCATTTCGTGTCCCCTTTTTCCAATTCCTTTGGGGTTGTTGAGTTTTCTTAATAAATAATGCTTATGGGTTCATGAAATTTGATGTATTTTTTCTATAATATACAACTATGATGTGGGTTTATTTATATCTTTTAGTACCAGTAACCAGTGAAAACCCAAATAGGCTATTCTATCGATGTAAGCAAAGTAAATGTCATCGATGTCAGGTATTGTTTCAAAAAGCGCTAGGCGGGTCCTAGGCGGCCTGGGGGGTCCAAGCCGCTCAGCGCCTAGGCGGGCGCCCAGAACCTGGTCGGTCCAATTGAATCCAAATAAGGATTCTGCAGTTATGTCAGTAGCAATTATATGTATTGCAGTACATAATTCAAATTATACTACATATTAACATTTAGCACACACTCCATAAGCATAACCATAATCTATAAGTTGGTTCATACTCCATATCCAATTAAAACTCAAAATTTTCCAACCAACCAAATTATCAAACCAAGTTATCAAATAGTATCACACCAATACTGCAGTACACCACTATGAGGAAGAAAACAAAATTGAATTATGAAACAATGGGTAATGTTTTGATCAATTTTTGTTAACTTTCAGAAACCCTTCGATCCTAAAAAATTCACCAAAAACTAGTTTTTTGGGGGTTTTTTCTCTCTAAAATTGGCTCCAACAAGTTTTAAGTTTCAAATGAACTTAAACATCTAATTTTTGGCCCTTAAAAACAAAAAAAAAACCAAAATTGCCCCTACCAAAAGTTATTTTCGGCCCTAGGCAGGGCCCAGGTTTTGGGCGGCCGCCCAGGGATCGACCGCCTAGATTAGCCGCCTATTGCCCAGGCCTTTCGGACCGCTTAGGTGTTGGGCGGTCTGCTTTTTGAATCACTGGTGTCAGGATGATTCTTGTAATTTCTTCCAATAGTGTGCTGAGTATGTAGCAGATGCCAACAACATGGCAAATTTGAGACGCCGACATGGACCACAGTGGAGTTACCCACAGGAATCATAGGAAGAACACCAAGTAAATAATGAACCAATAGCAGTACAACAAGCCGACATTGTTGACCTGAACCAATTACGAGATATTTTGTATTTTCTATGTATAATTAATGTTCTTCTTCTTTTATTTGTCTTTTTCTTTTTCATGCAACATCTGAGGTGAACCTGTAAAAGAAGAATGCATGAAAAATCAACAACTTTTATGGACATTATTTTGTTCTTATTAGAACTTGTTCTACATTTGATATGGACCTTATTTTGTGGCCACAAATTTTGAGTCCTTGTCAAATGTTGTGTTCATTGCATTGCATTTTCAATTATGTATGTTTAAACTATTACAGGTTATTGTTGAATGGGCTGGTTTTGTACATGATTATATATGGATGCATGAATTGTGAATGTTATTTACATGCATCACAAATGTTTTAAGAGATAACACACAAATGTTTTGTGCCATTATAATCTTAGAGAGAGAGATAACACAAATGTTTTGTGCATCACAAATGTTTTAAGGGACAGACAACAATGTTGTTTTGTTGTTGAATGATGTATATTTTTGAGGTTGGGATATGGATGCATCAGTGGTGAATGTATGTCTAAGTAGTGCTCAAGTTATTACAGGTTATTGTTCTATGGGCTGATTTCATACTACTTGCATTGTGCATGTGTGTTTGTATGTTGTGCTAAAGCTATTATAGTACAGTCCAATAGAATCCTGGAAACGAAATTCATAATTGCCATGGTCGTCGATAGATATGAGTGTGCATGTGTGTGTATGAGAAATAGCGAGAGAGCGAGAGAGAGTTTGTATTCGGTTTACGAAGAAAGTCATTGACAACCTACTTATGAAATTTAAACACCTATTCCACTTTCTAATTGTAAAAAGACTCAACATATTGTAAACCCGCAATAGTTAAGAAAATATATATTGATTTCTATTTTAAGATAGTCGATTAGGAAACTAGTGATTTGGTACACAATATTGAATTGAGATTGTGCTTCAATTTTGAGGTGCAATGAAGTTTATCATGCAACATGTGCTTCAATTGATGTACAGATATCTCTCTATGGCGCTTTTTCACTCATCAATAAAACTTTCTCATTCATCAATAAAACTTTCTCTCATTGATAAAAATCTCTCTCTCTCTCTCTCTCTCTCTCAATACAACGTACTTTACTTTCAATTGATTTTTTGTCCCAAAAAATAGTATTCTACAATTTTTTTTTAAAAATAATAATATCTAGGTCTCAATTTTAACATTTTATATCTTGCCTATTACTTCTAAAGCTAATCCAATACAGATACCCAGAAACCAATAACTTCTTAAACTTCCCAGGAAGTCATCAAACACTGAAACCAAGAACTTCTTTAACTTCTCAGGAGGTTATCAAACACAGAAACCAGGAACTTCTTTAACTTCCCAGGAAGTTATCAAACACAGAATCCAGGAACTTCTTATAGTAACTTCTATCTTCCCAGCAAGGAGGAACTTTTAATTTATAGTTCATGAACTTGCTTCTAATTATCAAACGGGCCCTTAAAATTACATGTTATGATAAAATTTGGAGGTGCACTTTAATTGGACCACACCCTTATAATTTTCCCACTAAAATTTTAGCGGGACGCTATTGTGTGGAGTTTGGACAACCTTATACCAACCTAATAGACGGATCGGCAAAAGCTCGCGTTACGTTTCGACCCCTCTCTCTCTCTCTTTGATCGGCAAAAGCTCGTGTCACTTTCGACCTCTCTCTCTCTCTCTTTCAAATGCTTTAACTCGCGGGCAGTTTTTGTTCTCTCCCTCTCTGCCATTTCCCGCTTTCGCCTTTTCCATTTTAGCCGCAGGTATTTACAAGCCTTCGTATCGTCTCCATCACGTGTTCCATCCTCTTTCTCTCTCTCAATCCTAAGTAGAGAGCAGGCTTTAATTTCTCGTTTCTAGTAAATGCCCTCTCATTCCCTTAAAACAATAATTTATTCAAGGGATTGAAGCTCTACAATCGATTGATAAACATCTATTGCTTTCCTCTCTCTTTTATGATAAATTAATAGCAAGTCCTAAAAACCGTTTTTAATAGTTATGATTTTATTCATGGAGAAATCTAGGGTTCCATTTTCTTGTTTGGTTTTAAGACCTTCATTCACTGAATTGACAGGAATTTGTGAGCGAATATATGATGGACAATGCAGCCCAGGTTCCAACTGGTTTTGGGCACGAGCTGAGGGCCTGTCTTCGATGCAGACTTGTGAAAACATATGATCAGGTTATATTTCTAGTTTTTCCTTCTCATTTTCCCCCTTCTTTGGCACATGCAATAAACGTCACATGCAGTTAGTTTTTCTTCGCCTTTGCATGTTATCTTTTATTTGCTTTTCATTCTTTTTATTTTTTTAGGAGCAAAAAGATAAATTTCTTTTTAATATTGTCCCTTCTATTGGGAATAAGTGGTGAAATTCTCATTTATAATGAAATTTTCATAATTATTTTCTTCAGGATCTAGCTGATGTTATGTTTGAAATATCTTTGATTTACTTTGCTATTATATAAATTGGGGTTTTTGGTTTTTGAGTTTATGTTATTTTGCGATCGCTATTTATTTATGCATATGGTGGGGTAATCCTATGAATATGTTGGTTAAATTCCTTTTTTGCTTCTTTAGGAATGCTTTTTTTAATCATGGTTCCATGTTTCATGTACAGTTTAGAGAAACAGGTTGTGAGAATTGTCCTTTCTTTAACATGGATAAGGATCATGAACGAGTTGTGGATTGCACTACTCCCAATTTTAATGGGTAAGTTGTGATTTATTTGGTTTTAAATTGATATGTATTTGTATTTGTGATTCCTAAATTTTAGAATTTGCTAGCTGAATCCTTAATCTGTTTTGTGTTAGCAAATCTTTCTGAAAAAATATATGGCATTTAATAAGTGGTGTACATGGTGATATTGCTTAGCTTACATTTTTTCCCCATGACATCATTTGAAAAGAACAAATGTAGAAAGTAATACTATAGAAGAACAAGTCTGAAAAAAGAACAACTGAGCATATGAAACAATTAAACTGAGCATATGAAACAATTAATACTGTTGAAGAAAAAATCATCCTAAAAGGAGCACTGGAAAGATGCAGTAAAATATTGCAAGGTATTTTAAACTCCGAGGTCTTTAACTCATTATTTCCAGATTGACTCTTTGTGGTTATCTGACAGTAACAAATGTCTCTGAAGGAATGTATCAATACATTTCCAATAACCATACTCAAAAGTATTAATCATTTAGTTTGTTTTCAAGAACGAGGTCTCTTGTAGAGGGTGAATTTTTTTGTGAGATTTGGTGGTTTCAGTAAGAGGCATGAGAGGAATAGTAGTATATAAATGAATCTTAAAGAGGATATTAGTACCCTTGAAAAGGGCTTGGCATTTAATGCTACCTCAAATTTCATTGGAGGGGGGAAAATCTATATAATAATGCCACACATGTTGCTTACATTAAGAGAATCAGGCACCCAACGCGCTACACACCTGTGTCGACTCACGATTCAACATACAGACTGAAGACATGGGACATGTGTGTCAAGGCATGATTGGTAATTTTTATTTTTTGGATCTGCAGGCACTACTTGCCTACCAGACATGTAATTCCACATATTGGACGAACAGGATAAGTGTCTGTTTTGTATGATATGGGAAAATTGCCGAAGTTTAGAGAACTGGTTATTGTTGGCTAAATGCTTGCATGCCTAAATGCATAAATCATTGGGCTTTTTTAGTCAGTTCCCTTAAGTCAGACTAAGGATATCCTCTTCTTGCAAGGTCGCTTTAATGCATTTGAGTTGCTCTTTGATGTCAGAGGTTCTGATGATTCCCCATTCTGCAGCTTCATGTTTATTAGAGTTAACTATTTGATATTAAGAGCTCTTAACATCTGAATATTTCTCATTTGATTTTCATGTTGTGATTTTGGATTAAGCAAATATTATTGTGGATTTGTTGTAATGCAACGATGAGTGGGATTGTCTCTGATATTGTAGTTTCCAGCAAACATGTCATAACATATTTACACACATGCTCTCTCTCTCTCTCTCTCTCTCTCTCTCTCTCTCGGCGATATGCAGAGAAAATTTGTGCAGGAATGAGGAAATATATTGGAACTGTTGAGGAATTCACCTGTTGTTTTCTTTTAACAGGATTATTTCTTGCATGGACCCAACAAAAAGCTGGGCAGCTCGATGGTTGAGAATTTGTAAGATTTGCATGTGGCAAAACTTATATTAGCTTTAGGAATTTTAGTTTTTAGTTTTGCTTTCCTGTATTTAACTTTATTGACTTGCATGTCATTTATGCATTCTTATACTCCTTGCACTACACAAATACGAAATAGATGAAATTTAAGAACAATATGAAATATAATGAAGCAAGTCAGTTTTCATTTTTACTTTGTTCTCTATTTAACCACCCAAATAGTTGGGAACATGCTTTGATGACTATGATGATGATGATGACTCTATTCTCTTTTTCCAAGAATGTATGGGTCATTTGTACTGTCATTCCTCTCATCTTGTTGTCAGGATAGAGCTAAAATAAATATTTTTATAAATGTAGCTGAGCAGAGGTGTGGTGCATTTACATATTCATTTGTAATTCTTGGAGTGTTATTGGTAAATTTTAAAAAAGATTGGAAACATGATAAATTATTGAGGGGTACTGGAGATTACTTCATATGATACAATTATTTGATATTACATAATAAGATGCAACTATTTTAGATTACTTAGTATGATACAGCTAATTGAGATTGTTTATTATGATTATATTAAGTTTTAATTTGTAAGAAGGACGAAAGGTGATGAGAAGAAAGGACCAATGAGTTTGTAATATAGATCAATAAATAAATTTAAGGGTGTAGTATATGAACAAGCTGATTACATCCTAATGGTGCTTTGCATTTTGTTAAGTCAATTGGCATGAAAGATTTCAAGTTGCATATATATGCAATAATAGCAAGTTAAATTTCAAAATCTACTTGTGAAAAGTTGATATTGCATAAAATATTGAATAGTAAAATCTTGAGTTCTTTTTTTGACCTTATTGTCGTTTGATTTTGCCGTGCCAGATAATTCCGAGACTTTTTTTGTTTACCAACTCTTAGCATCCTAAAATAGTAAAGGAACTCCTATATATGCTTTGGGATCCTATTTATACTATTATGCATTATCGTAATGTTAAGTGACTCCCTCATTGCAACCCTTTCTCTAGCACGTGTTTATCCTAATTCTAGAGGAGTCCCTTAAATTTTGGTTGATTCTCAAATGAAGCCAATCACGCTTGACTTTTTGACGGAGCCTTCAAGTTGTTTGTGTTTGTCTTTGTTTTTTATGGGCCTAGGCTATTGCATTTTTTCCTGTTCTTATTAAATTAAAGGATTTTGAAGTCTTGCAAGTTCAGGTTACCCTTTTAATTGAATACATTCCCTGTGGGGCATTCTTTTACCTTGTGCGACACATTCACATTACTGTTAATGACTTGTGTTTGAGCGTAGAAGTAAAAAGGATCACCTGTTTAGGACTTCCTGTGGTACTTTCATTTAATATTCTTGTTGGTAAACAATTTGGTTGTTCAGCCTAATTTGTGATGTGGTTCCCAATATCATGAATAATCCTGGTAGGTTTCTTACTTTGCATTGATATCTATGGTATCTTCGATTCTGTTGGGTCTCCTTGAAATATGGAGGGCTATATATTGTAACCTTAATTGAACTGTTTTTGCAGTTGTACACATATTCCCTAGATACTTTGAAATAAGGATTGCCTTCTTTTGTTGTGCAATATCTTGTTAACGGGTTGTAAGTTTTGCTTAAAAGATATAAACTTATTGGGTGTTTTTCATCTTCTTTTATTCTGAGTTTTATATGTCATTTTCTTTTAACAACTATAATCTTATCAATAGAAGTTTATGCAGTGACATGACGTTAGGGAATCCAAAAACTCCTATGGTTCATGCCGTGACATGACGTCAGAATTTTGCCTTCTTCCTGGGTCAAGTCTTGGAACCACAACTTATTGGGCCTAGATTATCTTCCTAATTGAGCTAGTATCAAAGTTGAGTTTCGCATATTGCCTAAGTTTTGGAGGACATCCAAAACTACTGATTAGGGGTGTCAAAAAATGAAGCTAGCGCTCTCACTCAACTCGGTTTGCAGTGAGCCAAGCTTGAGCAACATTTTTTGGTTCAATAGGTCACTCAAATCGAGGCCAAGCTTAAGCAACACTTTTTGGTTCGCCAAGTCACTCAAGTCGGGCCTGCTAGCTTGTTCAATGGATAAACCAAGATAAAAAAGGGAAAAGGGTAGACCCAAAAGGATATGGTTGGAAATAGTGAGAAAAGATATGGGGACTTATGATCCTCATTGAGGGTATGACCCTTAATAGAGTAGAATGACGGACTAGGATTCGTATAGCCAACCCCAATTAGTTGGGAAAAGGCTTTGATGATGATGATAAAGCTCACATGAGACATACTGGGATTGAGTTTGTTTAATTTATTAAATAATTAGAGCTTAAGTTACTGTATTATTGCATTAAAATTGCCTTGTGTCACGGGTTTGTTGTAGCTTGACTTTGCTTGTTTACGGGCTTGTGTGCGGAGAAAGTTAGGCAACGCCACGCTCATGCTTAGGTTCCCTTAATCAAGCCATGCTCAAGCTAGGGTGTTCAACTGCAAGTCATGCTGAAGTTGGTCCTCCACCTGTACTAGCCATGCATGAACCTGTCCAATCTCGCCTTGACTTGTCGACACCTCTAGTTCTGATAGGAATCCTAAATCACATTAAGCCATATTCCTTTGGGATGGGTATTACTTCCATAGTGTGTCAAGTGTGTTATGTATTCTTTTGATAATCACGATTTCTTTTGGGTGCAAATCTTCTTCTCTTTTAAAACCTCCAAGTCCACGGTTATGGTAGACAAGGTGATGCAAGGAAATTCTAGGGAAACAGTTAAATCAGCAAGAAACAAGCCAAACACATGCACAAGTCGAAGAAACCTGGGGTTTCTTTTCCATACCCGAAGTTAGGGTTCCAAAAGACTAAGCTTTTCTCTTTTCAATTTTTTAAAATCTGTGGAATTCCCTTATGAAAGCCCCACACATCTCTTATATATTATAATTCAATGTTCAAAGATATTATATGTCCATACAATGATTAAAATGACTTATATATCCTAACTTAAACTTAAATTTTGTAATGACAATTTTACCTATGTGAACAGTACCATGAATAATACTCGTGAATAGTACCATGAATACTACTCGTGAATAGTACCATGAAATAAACAAAAAAATTATAGATACTTTAGAATCCTTAAAAAGCTAAAAACCTTAGATATAAACCCTAATACTGAATTATAATATCAATCCTTTGAAATTGAATAAAAATAAAAAATAAGAATAATTTTGCCTTCTATCACTTCTTATCTACTTATTGTCTTTCAAACTTCCTCATCTTTCCTCTTCCTCTTTCTATTGCCTTCTATTCTATCCTCGTCGTCTCCCTATTACCTTGCTCAGACCTCTTCCCTCAGCTCCTGCCGGTCTTACATACCTTGGTCCTACATGTAGTTCGAAAAACTTAAATCTCATGGATCCCTTTTGTTGCCTATGAACTCAATTAACCCAATGAGCCCCCCCTCAACCTACACCCTTCCACACCCCTGGTTGAGCATCATCATCAACATCCTTAAAGCCTTTTCCTAAACTATTTGGTGGTTAGCTATACGAATTTTGGTATGCCATCTGCTCTATCAAAGGTCATACCCTCAGTGAAGTCATAAGTCCCCATATCTTTTCTCACTATTCTTTTGGGCCATCCCTTGCCCTTTTGAGCCTTCCACTTGAACTAACTTGCACCTCCTAGCAGGTACCGTACTGGGTCTGCGCTGCACATCGCCAGTCCACCTAAGTCTACTCTCTGATCCTATCGTGTATTGATGCCACACTTAAATATTTTTTGAATGTATTCATTTCAAATTCAATCCCTTCTCGTCTTGCCACTCATCCATTGTAACATCCGCATCTCAATTACACTCATCTTATGGGTATGTTGCTTCTTGACCACCCAACATTATGCCCTATAAAGCAAAGTTCGTCTCACAACTGTCTTATGAAACTTGCCCATTAGCTTCATTAGTATGCGGTGATTGCATAAAACTCCGGTTCTACATCCTTACTTCGCCCACCCAACACTAGTTATATGTGCGACATCTTCCTCAATCTCTCCAATTTTCTGGATTATCAACCCAAGATATCGAAAGCGCAACCTTTTTGGTATTTCTTGACCGTCAATCTTGACTACTTGTTTTTACTCCTATTGTTACTAAATTTTCATTCCATATACTTTATCTTAGTCCTACTAATTTTAAAACTTTTAGATTTTTGAGGATCCCTTTAGAGCTCTTTGTGTTTGACATCGTTTTGGGTCTCATCGATCAAAACTATTTCGTCTGCGAACAACAGATACCATCGTACCTCATCTTGTAGGTGCCTAGTTAAGTTGTCCATAACTTAGACAAAGAGGTATGAGCTCAACGTTGACCCCTGATGTAGACCTATTGTCACTTGGAACTCACTCATCTCTCAACTAGTTGTTCACACTCTACTCCAAAAACCCAAACCCCCCTAAAACAAAAAAACCCAAAAAAAAGAAGAAAAAAAGAAGTTAAGCCCCCAAACCTCTGAAAGGAAATCCAAAACAAAAAAGTGCTATTCCAAATCTCAAGTATGCCAAGCTCATTACATTACTTAATAACTTAATCCACCCCTCTATTTACCTTTGCATATTCTCACAACTCTATTCAATGCTCTACCAACCTCCCTATCAACACCATAACTTCCACCCTTGACCCAATCCCCCCAAACAACACAATATCTATAAACATCTCATTACCCCTCAAAATTTTGGATAAACCAACAGTAGCCAGAAACCATTACAAAATAACCCATCCTTAAACCTAGCACCACCCAAGGTCAACCTCTAACCTTGTTGAAAGATCCAAGCCTAGATATGAGATCTAGGGTGATTTCCTTCAAGAGAGATTAACTTCTCTAAACAACTCTCTAATTGCAACCTTCGACCCACCAAGGCATGACTGAAGAAATATAAAAAAATGGGTTGCTGCCACTTGGAATTTGCAAGACATCCTTTTGTACTAAGGAGGATATTGGCTTCGGTTCCCTTTTAAGGAAAACTAG